TTTCCTACTCCAGGTGGATTGCGTTTAGTCGGAACTCTCCACTATGTCCTGTCCGTCTTGGGTGTCCCTGCACGGCATAGCCCATAGTTTCTCTGAGTTACTCAAGCCCCTTCGCCACGACAAGGCAGCAATCCATGAAGAAGCTTAGTGGTTTCTCAGGGCAAATTATCTCAAGAAGGGGGGGAAGTCTTCTGCAAACACGCACACATTTCTCTCACAGTCAGTTTTACTAGGCTGAGGGGCACCCAGACAAGTTAAGAGGACAGCATGTCAGAGACATACCAGTGTCAGCCTCAAATCAGATTCGCCGTATCCTCTGGGTAGTCCTGTTTTCAGGTGCTGCCAGAGCAGACAGGCAGGGCAATGAGGAGGTGCAGGGATGCAGCTGTCCCACCTGGAGGGTCAGTGATGGGCAGGCACAGTGTGTGAAAAAGGAGAGTAAATAGGAGTCTGGGGAATGTGATTGTGTTGTGTAGAGGGAATTAAACAGCATGTGCATCTTTGTTGCCTGGAGATTTTCTGATGGGAGTGTTTTTGGTGGAAGTTGCTTGCTGTCATTTTGGGGTGGGGGCAGGGGCTATGTGGGTGGATATTTTTACTTGGCTTTTTGGGAGAGATGGTCTGCCTGAGTTTTCTAGATTGGTTTTGTTTTAGTTTTGGTGTGCGTTTCTCTGAGCCTCACCATTTTTTCTCACAGAAACTGAACGGTGCCGAACTGTGGCAAATACACAGCTGGGTATGTGAGGCTTGGATTCATCCTTCGCCTTACATTGTTTCCTGAGCAAATTACCCATCTTGTGTGTGACTAGCTAGGCCTCCAATGGCAGCCATTTTGAGAAATGATGACAAATTCCTCAAAGCATGAAATGTGTCAGTGGGCCCAAATGGAGCTCCTGAAACATCAGTCATTCAATCTGAAAAGAGTTATATTTTGTCAGAACAAACAGAAGGCAGAGGGGGAAAAGATCTCACATCAGGGCAAGATGATATGTCTCTTTTTTCCGGGAAGGGACTGAGAAAAAGGAAGCAAAGGCTTTTAAGAGTGAACTAGCATGAGAAAGGAACACAGTTCTTTGGCCATTAGCAGGACTGTATATATGGTGGATTTCTGCAGCCTTATATAAAAGCATAGAAAGGAGGTTGTGGGTGAGGTAGGATCTTTCAGAGTGAAGGAAAGGGCATTTGGAGCATTCCTTTGCAAATCTCTGCTGGCAGTATGTAGGCAATGCCTCCTGAAAAGCTAGAAGCCAGGAAAATGACAAAACAAGATTTTGAGAAAGTTGGGGTACAGGGAATTGAATGTCCTTAACTTTTTCGTGAGCAACATTGGATTATGCAGCTTTATGAAATTTATATAACTGGTATGAACCAGAAAATACGGATACGATGTGTATCAGTTTTTATTGATACCTTCCACAAGGTAAAGAGCTTTTCCAACTACTGTAATAGCCTTTCATTTCACTTAAAGAAGCATTCCAATGCCACTTGTCTTATCTGTGATATCTACAAATCTTGTCTTTAGTGCTTATCTGTGCCTCCTTTTAAATCCAAGGCTCCAAAAATGGCAAGAAGGTTGTTCTTGCATTGCTACACCTATGAGTAAACACGATCTTACCTTGAATGGTTCTTAGGGTCCCTTCAGAGTGTGAAAGTAATGTGTTATTAGTAGTGACGTGATCTATAACGTGTTATTTGGGGAAAAGATAACAAGGAACTATGTTCTCTTTGTGAAGTAATAAAGTAACCCGTAAAATTGGTATCTTTTAAAAGTGTCACAAATAGTGTTTGCCCATCATAAGGTTTTGCAGCATTATTTGAATGTGAGGTGGTTGCCATTCTTAAAATACTCTTTTGTAAAAAAAAATTAAGTACTATGTTACTCTTAAAAATAAGTGTTACATCTTACTTTTATAATACTGTACAACATTCTCATGCTTATGAGGTGTTTCACACTGGATCTCTTATGCTTATGCAATGGTTTACATGACAGTGTTGCTCAAGGTTGCTTCATTTTTCTACCCTTCTTTGCTTCTTGCCTGCAGAAATGGGTACCCAGATGCTCAGTATCTCAAGAACATCAGCTTGAAACTAAAAGACCTGGGTGTCGAATGAAAGAAGATTTCCCTCCCTCTTTCCCTTAAGAATTTTGAAAAACCAGCTGCCTTCTGCACCTCCAAAGCCAGTCATCATCCTCATCTCTGTTTCACTCCACAGGAGTTGGAAGAATCTTCCATTCGTCTGGGATGAAAGACATTGAGTTCATGGGCCATCACACCTCAGTCTAACTGTTAGCACATATTTTCCTCCTTCCACAGTTGTATCTCCCTATATTATTGTTTCTTCCTTCCCCTATACAAGTAGCTCTTTTCTGAGGGATGGAGAACTTCAGTGAGGCTGGGGAGGGGGGGTGAGACTAGTCATCTACATTTGCTTTTCTTCTTCTAATTTTTCTTTTGCACATGAACTCCAGGCAATTCCCAGTGTGGTGGTAGTGGATAGAGCAATGAGTTCTCCTTAGAGGCTCAGCCATGGAAGCTCACTGGGGGAGTGGAACTGGTCAAACCACTGTTTAAATATATACCTTGAAAACCCTATTAGGGTTGCTGTAAGTCGGACAGCGCATAACACACACACAGCTTTCCAGGCAAAGCAACTGATACGCCTGCTGTTTTGATGAAGCGATACCTCTCCCTGTCTCTCACACACAGAGTTCTTAGTTGTCAAATAGAAAGTCACATGAGAGGATGTAATATTTGCATGGGTGAAGATATTTTGATGGTATCTTGTGACCTTTTAGTGAGCTGGACCCATAAGATCATGCTCAGCAGAGCCTTACAGGCTTTCTTCTCTGTTTTTAAGTAAAATGTCATCTGTAGGGGTGACTCCTGACATTGTGATGAAGTGGTGGTGGGGGCAGTGTAGATGTAGGCAACTTTCACACAAAAAGGGGAAGTAATGCCTCTCCTTCCAAAAGAGATGCAGGACTCCCGTTTGAAATTAGTCTGCAAGCATGACAATCAGATTTGTGACTCAGTTGTACATGTGATCCAGTATCACTGTTGAAGCCACTGCCTGCTTGGAATGCAAATGATAGCGTAAGAGAATTCTAGGTTTCCACGTTGAGGTTGCTGATGTGTCTCATGGCCTTGAAGTTAAAACTGTCCTGCCTAAGAGGGACAGGAGACACAACACAGAGAATATTCCTTGTCTTAATTTCTCTTCTTATGCTTTACTGTGCAGCTTTGGCTTGGGGAAGAGTTGGAACTGAATTCACATTAGTTCTTTTAGAAAACCTGATGCTTTAATAATAAACAGCCTGTCCAGAAGTTTTCAAAGAACTCAGTGTTCAAGATGTCTCTTGTTGATTTTATTAATATGGCTTTAGCTACCTATTGAAGCCTTATGAACACCAAGAAGCCAAATTTTAAAAAACTGAAGTTGCCACATCTTTGTCTTCATTTTTTGCTTTTGTTTAATTTTGTATTTTTATTATGTTTTCACAGAATAACTCCAAAAGCTATAGCTTTAAAAACTTGTAAAGCACCAGTACATTTCTCTAGGAATTTTAAATGTTTTAGTAAATAAAAAGCTGTCTTTTTTCCATCCTATCAACAATTTCAGTCCTCTCACTTAAAACTACCAAAGACTTACAGTTATTACTCACATGCAGAGATGGTGGACTACTATTATAATTTTTCACCACCATTGAAGGAACTTGCTTCCAAAGAGCTGCATGAGCTTTACTCACTCTGAACTGCTTTCACCTGATCTCTGGGAAGTTGCCAAATGGCCCAGAAAATTCTCAGAAAACACAAGTAATAAAAAGGATCAACTCCATCAACTGTCTAAGGTTAGAATACACACACCTGCCTACAAGTAAATGAATAGGTGAAGAGCCCAGGACAGCTTTTATGTATTTTTTTGTTATGCTTTTAATGAACACTCAAAAAAACTACACATAAGGCATATGGTAACATTAGGCAGACTAGCATTTCATGTCTGAATCCATGTAAACAGCATTGGCACAGTTGCTTTGTTGACACACATACGTGCGTGTATACGTACAAGAGAGCTTCTTTTCAAACACTATAGACTTAAGGAAGCATCTTGAACACACAAGGTACTCACAAGCCACCCAACGAGGAATTAATGGGACAGATGCCACAACCTGCTGTGTTAGCAAAGTGCTGCTACCATTGGCTCACCCTTCTCCCATCAGCAGCATCTTGGCCTTTTAAGGATTCTCATTGGCGACGAGAGGTTTTGTGGATCATTCGAACAGCAGTTAGTGCACCCACTGACCTTATGATTGGATGTCCACCATTCATCATTCAAGTCTACAACGCACAAAACATGCAAATAAAATTTCTTGCTGTGATATAAGCAAGGCCTTCCCAGCTCCTACACTCCCTAGAACACCTTTGTTCTAAGCTTTCCTTCCACCATCTCTCCCAATGATCCCTGTGTAAATTACTCCTTTTTGTGTGCCAAGCAAACAATCCAAAAAGTTCAGTCTTAAAAAAATGAAAAATCCAGTGGCACAGAGGTGACAAATGAAATCCCTAAAAGGCTCTCTTATATGTATTTTTGTATAGACTGAAAAATCACGTAAATTTCAAATTTGACCATTAAAAACCTGAAATTCCAGTTTTGCCCAAATTTTGAAAGACTCTTGCGCTAAGTGTAATATTCTGTCACTTTGTTTGAAAATAATGTTTATCAGCTTAATTTGGTACTTCTACATTCCCATGTTTCTTCTTCCCCACCCACCCTGTACTAAATCCTACACTACAATTGTGAATATGTAAAACTGCATTTGATAAGTATAAATTTTAATTTTTGCAAGGAGACCAAACCAGGAAGATTTTATTGAGAAGGTGCTATCTCCTTAAACATGTTTTACTTCCGGTAGTTAAGAGTCCAATGCAGATGTTAACTTTGGCACATTGTACAGCAAAAAACAAAATCCTGAGGCAAATTGCTCTATGCCTTTCACATTTGTATTGTTGGAACGGGTCCCTAGATGGTAGGAGCCGGACATGGCTGTGCCAGATCAAACTCAAAGACAAGCAGCAATTTGTCCAAGAGATCTTTCATTAGCTCTTGCCCACCCAAGGACCTCATTCAGCCTATTAACATGATACAGCAAATTTGTATCATAGTGGCCTTGTCATATCAAGAAGTGGCTTTTCTTTTGGGACTGAAATTGTGTTAAAATATGCTCGATTTTAAAACCCACTGAATCAGAAAGAAGGAGCACATTTCCACCCTTCACATCTATACACACATGCGCACACAAGCACACACACCATCCCCTATGGCACAATTTTTTTAGTTCAAATGGCATTTCAGCTAGTTTGAAAGAGTGCAACAAAATCCATGAATGAAGGCTTCTTATGGCAAGTTCTGTCCTCCCATTTTGTATTACAGAAAATTCAAGAAAACAGATAACATTTCCACCCCTGCTTTGGTCCTTGAAGTCAAGCACATGTAGTTTAACAGGGCTGTTTTTAAAGGGTGGGGGGCAGGATCAAGGGCCTTTATTTAATACTCACAGTCAATAAAACAGCTGTCTGAAACACACATATGCGCACAGACACACAAAATCACAATATAAAGGGGCTACTATAAAATTGAAGACTACAGTATTATTAATCAGCAAGGCAATAAAGAGGAAAGTTATAGTGCTTTAAAATTTGATGTTTCCTATATAAAAGGACTTCAGCTGCTGAGTAGCATTAAGACAAGTCAATTTTAAATCTTGAGCACAAAAGGAAATGTTTGTTCACGAGGGATTCTTTTCAAAACTATCAAGACTCTAGCACAAGCAAACAAGAATTGCAGAGATCTTGCAGGAAGGGAATACATCACTTGCTGCTGCTATGTGTTAAAAATTTTCCTGTTGTTTTTCAAGTGCATTTATAGCTAGGTGTAAAGACAGTTACCCCATCTCTTAAGAAAATAATGACCATGCTGGATCATAACAGAGGTGTGTGTAGTCAAGCATTCTTTTCACATTGGCCAACTAGCTGCCCAAGAGAAGCCCACATGCAGGACGAAAGGCAGCAGTGAACTCCAAGGAGAGCCAGTGGCCACTTTCAAAACTAAGAATGGAACTCAGGTTCTCCTCTCCCTATTTGCAATCCAAAAGAGGTGCGCTGATCCAGAGGTGCACTGGCTTTAAAAATGTAGTTTTCTGTACAACATCCAGAAGCAGTGTATAACAGCTTTTCTGGTATCATTGTGAAAATGTCCAGTGGCTTCCCTTGTGTGGATTTGTTCCTTGGAGAGCTCGCAGACAGCAGCGAGAGATGCATCTTATTGTGCAGGCCATCTCACTGCATCTAGAAAATACAAGCTTACAGATACAGTGTTTCACACTAATTGCTGGGGTGGGCACACACTATTTTTTTGAAAAGCCAGATTTGATGAAGGCTTCTTGGGTTAGCTAGACCTTACTCACTATCTGGAACAAGGCACTGGTAAAATGGGGAGTAACAATGCAGCATAGGAGTTCTTCTAGAGGCAAGGCCCTGCAGTCTTAAAAGATTGAGGTTACAAAAGTTTTGGAATGCCATTTGGAATAAGGCACCAGGCAGCAGCAAGAAGAAAGGCAAATGTTTTTGTGGGGTTTTTTGTTGTTGTTGGTTTTTTAAGAGAAACACCCAACAGATTAATGAACCTTTGCATCATTTCCTCCCTACCCCTAGGATTTTGGTGTTCTACCATAGGGCACACATAGTGCAGGGGTTTTTGATGGTGTTTTTTTTCTATTGTGCTTCACACTGTGTAAAACTGGGAGTTTCTGTTTGCTTATTTTCTTAGTCAAGTATATTGAGTTTGAATGTGTGTACATGCCTAACAACCTTGAAGATGGGAAGCTAGAGTATTGACCCATGGCCAGAGCAGACGTAAATATTTTTCTTGGAAGTTTAGCCCAGTGAGAGCAAATGGCAACAGCAAAGTAGCAGAAATTAACAGTGGCAACTAAGAGAAACAATTTGGTATTGGAGTAGAAGAGAGTGATATACTGGATTTACAGGATTAAAGACTCATAGGTGTTCTGCAGTACATCAGCTCTGTATTGGTGTACTGGGAAAATGGGGGTGCTGGCCTGCTGTGATTTTGACTGCACTGGACAGTGACCAGTTGCTAACTATTCCTGACCTAGAAATATCCATGAAGTTGCCTTATATTGAATCAGAGCATTGAGTAATGATCCTGCTTCTTAGGCAGAAGTCATTTCCTGCTCTGATACCTGCTATCATACAGTAAATTTTGCAAGGAATGTATTTAGGATTACACATGTACAGTGCAGCTGGCCTTTTGATATTTCCAAGCTCTAGGATCTACGAGTTAATCTGGAGCACAATGTATCCTTTAGTAAGAGCATGACAGGGTAGGTGTGAGCTGTGGTTCTTGCCCTTTGCCCTTGCAGTTGATCTAGACCCCCACTTCCAGAATCCCTGGCCATTAACTCCATTTGCTGAAACTCCTAGGAGTGGAAGTCTGAAACATCTAGAAAGTAAAGGTTAAGAATCCACAAATTAAATAATGATCAGGGGTAAGTAGTTTTAGGTATAAGCCCTTAGAAAAGATTGACTCCAAAATTCCACTGCTTCAAAATACTACTAATAACAATATCTCCTGGGATAAAAATAATGAGGCACAGCAAGAATGGTTACTAGAATTAGCTATACTGTACCTATCTTTAGTTTAAAATAATCCTCTGGGTTTTTATTGACCCAACTTGCCTTCGGTTTGATGGCATAAAGTGCCTTCTTGTCTATGTTGTTCACAAAAATGGCTACTGGACCTATATGTTTTACATGTAGGTAGCCCAGAAAATGTCTTCAAATAGAGGATCCCCAACAATTGGGATCAGTGGACATATTTTGAATTTTGAGAAGGTCTTGTAGACACCATCACAACATGGCTGCTATAGGGGAAGTAACCCACAATGATTCCCATGGTGTGTCCCGCCAGTCAGAAAACATTCCAAAAAGAAAAATGGTGGGTCTAGAAAACAGTTTGTCCAATAACCTGAGTACATCCTGGTGGGTGGCCTAGTCTGTGAAAGACCAGGTTGTATGTGACCTGCAGTCACCTGCCATCTTCACCTCTCTTGAAATATAATTGGATCTATATGAAGTCCAGAAGCATTTGCAGAGATGGATGAAGTGGAAACTATGATGGTAACTAGCTGCAAGCCAGGTGCTTTTCTGCACAGAGACACATAATAAACAAGATGTTTGACAGAAAAATCAAGAGGGGCTTATGGGAGGGGTTGATGGATGCAATGGTGTTTCTGGGCTCCATGCTGGAAATGCCTGCCGTAAGATACCTTGAACTGTTTCATGCAGATGGCTGACAAGGAAGAGGGAGAGTTCCTTACAGAAGTAGCATTCACACTATAGTGAAGTCTTCAGCACTCCTCAATCTGAAGTAGCTGCAAGACAGTGAGTCAAACCCGAGGTGACAAAGACAGAAAGCAGGCTGGGAAAAGTGCGTTGTGCCCACTACCTTTCCTTCTCAGGGCTAAGCTGTTTATTGGGATATGGGAAAGGTCCATGGTTTTGCCCAAGGTCCATACAGCAACAAACTCTTGAGCCAGGGGATTTTGGAATGACAGTCCAAAATAGCAACTCTTGCAGGCTGTGGCCACTAGATCTATACAAAGGGACTAGCTAATGTGTCAAGACATGATATTTTCTTTTCCTTGAAAGAGACTGTTTCTGTCTGTTGTCCTCATTACTCCTTGTAGAGACTTGCTAATAACAATATATTGTGTGTCCCCACCCCCTGTTGCCCCCCCCCCAAGGCAACACTGAACCATGGACTGGGTTTGTGTTTGCTGCCTCTTGGAAACGACTGGAGCATGTATGCAACTTTTGGTCTCAAAGTAGAGCAGTAAGAGTTATAGGAGGGAATGGCTTTGCCTTCCTTCCTCCAGTCTACTGAAATCAAAGCATTTTGCATGCCTTAAAACTGAGAAAAATATATGTTGTTTTCACATTAAAACATCAGAGCACTCCCTCACTAAGTCACATGCCATCTACATGACATGAGAGTTGATTTTTTTTTGCAAGCGATAGCACAAATGTAAGATTACAGGCTTGTCAGCTGCTTGGCACCATTAAAGTATGATTCTGCACAAGCCACTGGAACTGAAAATACCAAGGTTTCTCCTTGAAAGAAACTCTCGGAGTTTTCAGGATGGCTCCCAAGGATTCTGTCTTTTCTTGGAAATTCCATCCTCTGCCATTCCCATGACACGTTTTTAAAAACTGGTTCAGCATGTTAGGTTTCCTTGTGTAGTCTATGGCACTTGTGTACTGAAGAGGGGTAAGAGTACGTCCTTTGTGATAGAAGCACGCTTCCTTTTCTCCCACTCCCCTCCTCCATTTTGTGCAACAACCAAACAACTGGGGAGGAGGAGGAGAAGCCTAGCATGCTCTGCTTATTAAATGTGCCCATCGGAAGTGGCAGGTTTGAGGCTTCGTTGCTATGGAAACAGTCCATAGCTGCTGCAACAATGGGAGTTTTATGTGCTCTAAAAGTTATTAGTCACCAGAGCAATGGGAAGCAGCCTAGAGGCGGGGAAGAGAAGACTTGGAGGCAAATAGCTCAGGTGGGAATTTTGTGGGGGGTTCTAGATGGACTAGCAACAAAGAAAAGAATCTAGAAATCAGGGGAAGTTCCAGTGAGCACACCTACCACGTAGAACTTGGGAAAGTTACATTTTATTGAACTGTAACTGACAGAGTCTCCCAGCTGAAGAAACTCTGCAAGCTACAGTCCAAGTAAATGACATTTTGCAACGACATTTCGTACAATGCTTGTTGTTCCTTTCAGGGAGTAAAGGGTTGATACTACAAAATAGAGATGAAAAACCAGTGTGATATACTTTTTTTAAAAAAAAACCAACAACCTAGGCCAGCTAGTGTTTTTGTGGAGATGGTGCCGTCTTTTGACCTCCATCTTGAGTCTGTGGGACTCAAGAGGCTTGCGTCATCTTTGAAAACAACTAGCTGACTACAACACAAGACATTTATTATTCCCATCTTTTTGCCACTTATTCCATTAACAGCAGTGAGAGATCTGTCCATTCCTACTTTCCTCAAAGGGTCAGATGTAGGGGCTGGGGGCAGAGAGCTAAAAAAAATTCAACTGGAAAGAAACAACACAAGGACCTGAGGTCAGACAATCCACCCATGCTCTTTTCTTTAGTTCTCTGTTTTCTTGCTTTCTTCCTTTGGTGGTGCTTCAGGGACCAGAACCACCTTCCCGACATTCTTCTTCTCCTGCATCTGTTTCATGGCATCTACCACCTGCAGCAGCAGAAGGAAAAGATTTCATTTCCTTGATTAAGGATAAGGTTGTCCTGTCATCTTGCTGTGTTGGTTCTCTCTCTCTCTCTCTCTCTTTCCAAACTTCATTTGAGTCTCTCTTTTTTAAAACAGTTCAAATGCAGCAAAGAAAGCTTCTTTTGCACACAGATTTTCTGTTTAACTAGAAGTAGTTGGCATCTACATCATGCATTAGAGTGAGCAGGCAGGAAATACAACCTTTTAAAGACAGGGGTGGGCAAAGAGTGACCCTCCAAAGATGTGTTGGTGGGCAATTCCCACTGTTGCTCATCACTGGCTCAGGTGGCAATTTGCAACCCAGTATCTGGAGGGCTGCATTTTGCTCCTCTTTGCTTTTTAATCTCCCTGCTGCCTCTTTTCAATTGACTCTGGTCTCTTCCCCATGCCTATCTGCCAGATATTCCAAAGCAAGGATCAAAAGCAACCTGGCTGGGGAGTGTCACAACATGCCACCCAAAGGAGAAAAATGTGCAGAAACCTGTCACAATGTAACAGCATTCTACCAATTTTGTTCTTATTTTGATGCCAAGGCAGAGGCTTTATCAAGGGGAACAGCTCTGGAGCATGCATAGAGTACATATTCCTCTCAATATTCACTAAAACCCAACACAGCCTTGCTGGATTTTTAAAAATCTTGTATCATTTCCTTTGGTTCAAAAGTGGCAGCAAATACCCGGGGGGGGGGGGAGGTTGACATGTGATATTTGATCACTCCCATCCTTCTCTTCCTCCATTACTAGGTGACCTAATGAAAGATCAACCAGAGGAGGGATCCATGCAAACCATCACCTTTTTTTTCTCCTCATTGCCAGTTCCTTTGGCAATGCAGCTTGGCCTCTTAAGCTGGGTGCTTAGAACCATACTTAGCAGTTTTGCATTTTCTAAACAAAGAATCAGATTTTCCTGCCTAAATCTAGGGGCTATTCTGAGGATGTTATCACATTATCTGATGAGTTCCATTTGAAGGACTGCAGACCCTTCCTCCCTGTCAACTCTCAAGACAACATGCTAAAAAATACGGGAAATAGCAGAAATGGACATTTTATCAAAAGTCATGAAGGACTACCCCCTGCAAAAGGCAACAGAAAGATGGGACCTATTCAACAAATGGACCAAATTAACAGGCAACATGTAAATAGCATATATTGAAATGAGATCTTAATCTAAAAGGCAGAAAAGAGAAAACAGAACAATTTAAAACTATGATATGGCAATAAGTTCAGAATGGTTGTTAGCATGTTATGGTCTCTCCTCTTCCCTATAAATTCCTAAGTCCCCTTTTCCTTTTTGTCACCCCTTGTGTTAAAAAAATAATTAAAAAAAAGACCACATGCTACATTGCCTCACCTGCTCAAAGGGCCAAATAGAGTCCACCTTGGGCTTGATTTTGCCTTGATTATAGAGGGCCACTAATTTGGCCACCACATCACTAAGGAGCTCCACTTCCTCATCCAGGTAGCCCAGATGGTAGCCACAAACAGCCTTGTTGAGATGAAGCAGCTGCAAGGCATTGATGCTGAACTGGTTCCACCAGGTTTTTGCCATGGCCATCAGGTTCTTCCTCTGTCCTGTTAGTAAGTTGGCTACACCTGGCAAGTTGGAAGTACATACAGGTTAGCATACCTCTGTGGGGGCTAGGTGCTATACAGCAGTAGACTTCAACTCCCAGAAATCCTGACCAGCAGGTGGTGAAGGCTTCTGGGAGTTGTAGTCTAAGAACATCTGGAGGCCCAAAGTTGGGGATCACTGCTATACGGGATCCAGAATTGAGGCAATTTCTGGAAGGCTGCACTCTATTACTCCCTTATTAGACACTATCATTCCTTTATGTAGGGACCTTTATTACTGTCCTCAATGAGAAGATAACACTTTTATTTCCATATAATTCTATTACCCCTCGACACAGTAATCTTTAAAAGGCCAATTTTGTAAAAATGAAGATGCTGCAGGACAAATGCAGGTGAAAGCCTGCCACAACCCCTTTATCCAGAAACCACATCCAGTATCCTCTTACTGGGGCTGGCTGTGATTATTCATTAGCAAGTTAAAACTGGCCATTTTGAAGTCATTATTCTAAAAGGAAGAAGTATTTTCTACCTCGTCCTCCACAAAGTTTAATATTTCTTTATTCCTGGGCCATGGGAGAGAAATTTGGGGTCACAGGGGGAAGAAACATGTTACCCACCTGGATTCTTTCATTGTTATTACAGAGGATAGAAAAAAAATAAACATTTGGTTAAGTGTTGAAGATTTCAAGCAGGGGCAACAAATCTCTGGCTCTCCAGATGTTTTGGACTATAACTCCTAACATGCTCTTTTATTGGCCATCCTGGCTGAGACATCTGGAAGTCTAAAACATCTGAAGGGCCAAATCAATCCCTGATTTAACAACTAGCACAAGAAGTATATGCATGGTCAGCATAACTATGTTTGGAAAGAATTTTTACTCAAGATTTCAGAGAATGATCCCAGATTGATTTTGGAAAAAAAGCAGGCCTTCCCAGTACCACCTACAGTATTTGTTACTTGTGGGAGTTTTTAAAATTTTTTCCTGAGCTGGTTGCAACATAAAAATATTCAAGGCATTTTACAGTTGAAAAACACATGCTCAGAAAAATAACAGTGAAACTATATGATAATAAAATGATAATTTATAATAACATTGTAAAATAGAAGTAGCAGCAAGAGAACAACAATCCACAAATTACAGAAGAGATATTTATGCAAAGCAGTAGACAAACTTTGTTAGGAAAGCATTTCTCCAAACCGGATATTACATTAGTGAACAGCTTTTCTCCCTCACTACCCAGAAATTGGAGAAGTTCCTCTTTTTTGGACTAAGCTTCCATACTGACTGGAAGATTCTGAGGCTTGTGCTTCAAAAAAGAGGAACATTTCCAGGTTTTATTTGACCCCTGCCTCCACTTAAATGGCAGAAGCATCTGGAGAAGAATCCTCAGAGAAGATTTCAGTACACAGGTGAGTTGACATGGAAGCAGATGTTTCAGCTAGAGCCAGGTCCCAAACTTTGGCCCAACAGGGACTTCCCAGCTAGAGTAGACCCACTATATCACTAAGATTTACATGTGCTGATTTACCATTCAGCAGCTAGTTCCAATAGGTGTACTCTAGTTGGGGCAAGCAGTTGAGCCAAGGAATTTAAATGGTGACTATGAACTTCCTCAATTACTTTTGCACTGGAAGATGACTTTGAACTGCACATTTTCCACCCCTGCTTCCAGTGTGTCTGTATAAGGGCTTTGTCTACAGGCACAAACAGAGTGATAGCAAGTTCACTGCCAGAGAAAGGGGGAGAGAAGTATTCAGCGGCTTTGGAGTTTGACTCCCACATGCCAATTGCACAGCTTCTCTTAGAGCTGCAGGACATTCAGCTGGTTGAGATCAAGGGAAATGAATATGCTTCAATAGTTCTGAAGAGTGCACAGACATGGAAGAGCTTTGATTCACATAAGAGGTGGGTGGTGACTAACATTCCACTACTTTTGGGGGTGGTCTACTTAAACGGAATTAAATTTTAAAAATTGCATTGAAATCATCCCTCTCTAGCACTCACAACAAGTAACTGGCCTTAAGTCTAACCTGAAACCACAGACTGAATCTACATGACATTCTGCTGTCTTCCAGTTGCATGCAAGTTGCATGCACATTCGTTGGCTGTTCCTTAGCCAAACAAGCTATTGAGTTTCTAAGGTATCACCCCAATTTGTCAAAGTGGCTCAAAAACATGGGGAAGCAAGCCTATGAGTCCTAGATACGTAGGAAGCGTTGGCTGTATTAACCCCTCTCAAGTGACTCTCCAAATCTGACTTAAATGCACAATCAAACATTGTTGTTACAGGAAGTGGTCACCTGGTGAACGTGACAGAAGCAATAACCCACCACAGAAGAAAACTGAGTGTAGATCTAATCCAGGAAGTCAGATTTTACCTGTTCTTCTGAGTATCTATCTACATACTGTATTTCAGAACAGCTATCTCCCAACCCACCACTCTTTAAGTGTAGTGGACTACGATTCCCATTACTCACAGTCAGCAGGGCAACTGGCAGGGGTGACGAGAGTGGTGGACCACAATCACTTAAGGGCACCAGGTTGGGGAATCCTGTTCTGGAGATTAAGCTCCGATGTTCCAAACTCATTCCAACACTGAGTTTTGCTTTACAGTTTAGCACAATAATCTGCCTGTGCACAAAACTCTCTCTCTCTCTCTCACACACACACACACACACACACACACACACACACACAGTTTTAGGTTCAAGAGGTTTCTGGAGCAGGGACCTGATGGGTACTAATTGCCAGAATATCCTAGGTGGCATGCTTTCCTACTCACCATAGGTGACTAATTTTCCCATTGGTTTCAGGAGGTTGAAGCCTTTTGTAGTATCTGAACCCCCCAAGGGGTCTAAGACAATATCTACACCTAGAAAAAGAGAGAAACTGCTATTAAAAAAAAGATTGATCAGGCATATCCAAGAGAAAAGAAATGAAATAACAAGCTCTACATCTGTAACTTCATTTTAGACACTTTTTAACACTACTTCAAAAGGACATTTCAAAAACTGCCATGTTGGTTCTTGATTATCACAAAATGCATCCTTCTTGACCAAATTTGACTTCATTCATTCATTTTATTTATACCCTTTGTCCCAACAAAGAGACTCAAGGCAGTTTAAATGCAACCAGTCCTAAACCTGTAATTCCAGTACAATAAGTGTTGCTTCCTGTGGGTTTTTTGTGTACATTCGATCAAGATTTAGTCATCCTTACAGCAGACCCATTAAAATAAGTGAGACTTCTTAGACTTGCCTAATTCAAAATCATATTCTTTTCAATGAATCTGCTCTAGCATGACTAAATTTGGATCCAGGCCTATTGTGTTTGCTTAAGGTTGGGGACAAATCCAAGACACAGTAATGGAGGCATAAACCGAAACCTTTACGAAGCAAGCCAAGCCTTACTGTAACTCTGTAGCTCTTCCTTCACCCCATCTTAAGTCTCTGACCATGCAGACGTCAGGACCTCTGCACTTTCGGGCTTCCCCTCCCTCTGTTTGCTTCCATGTTTTGTAACATTGTACCCAATGAACATGGTACATTTCAAAAACTTAACAGCAATTTTGTGCATACTCACTTGGTCCCACTAAAAACATTGTCTCACCGTGATTTGGGGGGAAATTCCAACAATTTGGGCATACAGAGATTTTAAAAAAAACAGTAAGGCTGAAATAGCCTTGCTAACTAAGCCAAGAGTGAACGTTTGGCTGGCCTTCAAGATGTTGCGGATTTACTTCCTTGAACGCCCAGTCTGTACAGCTAATGGCAAGGGATCGTGAGAGATGAAGTGCCAAGCATCTCCACGGCCAAGAATTCCCCACCCTTGAGCCAGGCTGCCCATTTACTCTCATAAATGTAAAAGGTTATCCTGATTAAACTGAGCAGTAGGTTTTAAAAATACAAATGCTATGGACTGCAGTCTTAAGAAAACCATGGGTGGCAGGCCCCATTTAAGAAGAAGCGTCTCTCCAAAAGAAGGCACACCTCTTCAGTCTGTTCCAAGTCTGACCCTCTCCAGTGTGTTGGGAGTACAACTCTCTATCATCCCCAGTAAAGTGCTGGTTGGGGACAATGGGAACTGTTTCCCAACATACCTGGAAGGTGTGTTATTTTCTCTCTCCAGTTATTGTGTTTTTGGTTAAACACAATAATTGGAGATATTATTAAAATTGTTTTTTTAAACAAAAAACAAAAACAAATAGGCATAGATTTAGTTGCTTGATTTAAGTTCTTATCATCAATCAGTCCAGATTCTTTTAATTGGCTGAAATCCTTGCCAACTAAAAAGCGAAAAAAACCCCTCATATTAGTGCAAAATGCTTGAGAGTTCTCTATCCACCTTCCTTCCAGATATGTAGCACCCGTTTTATGTCACAAGTAGCTCTCTAGAAAAGATGTACAAGAATTTTGTCATTCATCCTGCCTCCCAGCTCCCTCCACCAGTTACGGACCTTTAGGAGAGATTTTCCGGACCTCTGCCACATAATCAGCTGCCCGGTAGTCAACAGGGTGGGTGACCCCATTCTCCTTCAGGGCCTCATGCTTTGAGGCAGAGGCTGTGCCAAAAATGGTGACATTTTCCACAGTTTTGCAGAGCTGGACAGCAGCAGTTCCTACTCCACCTGGGCAAAGGGAGACAAGGGGGCAAATAAGTCTGGAAACAGTTAGAGAAGACATGGAGCCGAGAAGAGCAGAAAGGAATGAACATACACAGTTTTGTGCTTCCACCTCATTGCCAAAGGGAATCCTCTCCCTGCTCTAGAAAAAGCTCACAGTCAAGTTCTGTTTCACAGAAGTTCACCAAGTTTCACTGCTTCTAAGTTTAAGCTCTGAAGGTATTATCAGCCCCAAACTTTCTCTTCTTGGAGAGCTGTACCACCATTTTGAGGCACGCCACCCAGGAAGAAAAGAGCCAAAGCTTGTTTCTCTCTATTCTAACCAAGGTGACATCAAGGGATATATGATTTCTAGTAATATTCAAAGCCTCAAGATAGTACTCATAGTTAAAATGGTTTAAATCTGCTTAAACATTTTGGAATCTCCTAATTCCCACGAAGAAGCGAGCCATGGAAATTGTATTTCCTCTCTAAGAATTCCTTAGAGAAATGAAGCATTTGTGAGCCTCCAGATGGGATACAGGGACTGCCATCATTCCTGAGCACTGGCTGTCCTGGTTAGAGCGGAAAGAAGTTAGAATCCACCTTTGCTCTAGAGATGATTTATCCTTTTTACAGAATCACAAACCACAGAGGTTCCAGTCGTCTTGACAATTCAATAGGTTTGACATCAATCAGAATATCACTTTTTTAAAGTTTGCTTTTAAAAGTATCTTATGCTCTTTATTTAGGGGCAAATTTTTTCATGTTTTGAGAGCCCCTCAGCATCCAGGACCTCCATTTCCCTGATAGAGGTTTTCAGATAGAAAATGCTCTTTTTGTAGTATGCAAAAACTCACTGTAGAAACTTCTACACTGTAGTATATAACCACTGATCCAAATTTTAATATGCAAATCAGGGAATGCAGTCCTCAGCCTACAATCAAATCTGAAAAATAATCCTTGCTTATTTCTGTAATACTTTATGCAATGCAGTGGTCTAGGTAACAGATTACGATTGAACACAGTCAGGTTCATATCCTGCCACCCATCATGAAACTGTGTGAATGTCAGGCAAACTATTTCTGAGCTTAATCTACTTCACTGCAGCACGAGCATAAAATGAGGGAGACCCTTATATGCTACTTTGAATTCTTCAAAGGAAAATGTGGAATAAATCAAGACTAGGCAATGATGGCACTCCAGAAATGTTGTACAGCTACTCCCATAACCTCTCACCATTGGCAAATCTGAGAAGGGCTGATAGAAAGCTGTAGGCTAAAAGCATCTGGAGGACCAGAGTTTTGTACTCAAATAATAAACAGACCCACTAAAATCATGTGTCTGAAGAAATAAGACCGAGATGGCACAAAGGTTCACACAAAAATAAATGTGTTAGCCTTAATGGCGTCATAAGACTTTTGTTTTTCTTTTGTTGTCACTAAAACAGGCTAACACAACTACCTCTATGAAAACTTGAACTGGAAGATTTTCTGGCAGCACTTGTAATCTACTCCACTGCTCTGTGTGGGATAGAGAGCTTAAGCTGCTGGATTCAGTAGCCAGTGGTTTCAGTAGCCAGAGGTTGGGAGTTTAATCTTCCACTGTGCCTCCTTGAGATGGGCTGGACTCGATGATACACAGCATTCCTTGGCAATTCTAAGATGATGATGGCATAGACATAACATCTCTGCCACGGCTGCCCAGTGTTTGCATATAAGCATCCAGCAAAATACAGTCCAGCACTTCCTGAGAGAATCTGCTTCACTGCCAAGCAGCCTCTGTCATCAGGAAGCACCACCTACCATGTAGCTAAAATCACCTTCCCTGCAGTTCTTGTCCTGCCCTCTGGAGTAACAAAGCCAAAATGCTTCATCCGCTGCATGAGAACTTTCCAGAAATATAATGAACGCTGCCACTGCCTCCCCTCATTGTGGGAGGCAGCTCTTGCAACGTAAGGCCACTTTGAAAGTTCCACTCTGGCCCACCCAGACTCAGCAGCCCCGAAGGGGAAATTCTTGTTACCTGCTGCCATGTGGACGAGGACGCTCTGGTTGGGTCGCAGGTTGCCAAAATCGAAGAGGACCATATAGGCTGTGAGATAATTGACCAGGAATGCAGCGGCTTCCTCAAAGCTCATCCCTTCTGGCATGGGAAACGTCTGACTAGCTGGGACAGTCACAATTTCCTGCCAAAGACCTGACCTCGCCATCACCATCACCTTGTCACCAACCTGGGTCAAGAGGAAAGAAGGCGGCTATCAGTGCTGACAGATCCACGCGCAAACACAGGGGCGTCACAAGCTGGTCCCTACAATCTTCCCTAAGAAGAGGGGCCTTCCTGTCAGACAACAGGGGGGGTTCTCTCTTTTGACTGCAATCCATATAGTTGCTACACACTGCCGGGCAACTCTTAAGAAAAGCTGTTTTCGTTCCATGCATTTTTTTCCTCTCCCTGTGACACTTCCAAATACTGTAAACCTTTACACCTCAAGTCAGTTGTGGATTTGACCTTGCAATTGTTGTGCCCGTGTTAGCTTGGAACAGTACCTCCCAATGTTTAAACACTTTCCAGTATTTAAACAGCACTACCCAACTCCAGGATGGGCAGCCTTTGACCTTTTGTGTTTTGAGCTACATTTCCCACAATCCCTAACCACTGGCTATGGCAGCAGAAGTTGATGAGAACTGATATCCAAAACACTTGGAGATCTAAAAATGTCCTGCTCCTGATTTTTTCAAACAATATAAAGCTGCAATTTAAGATGAGCTAAGAATCCCAGCTTTTTTAGTGCCTAACTTTTTCATTTAGAGAGTTCAGAGAGATTGTTCCATGTAAGTTTTTTTATTTATTTAGAGAATGCAAGATATAAAGACAGAGGCTCACAGCAAAAGGTACTCTTTTTATTAGATAGGCTTTCACATACTTGAGTCAGATCAAAGAATATTAATTAAAAGAAAATTAAAAGAGCTAAGGTAAAAATGTCAATTTGCAAATGGGTTCTTAAAAATCAGAGTTAAAGGAAGAGACATCAATAATTCCCTCAACTTCTGAAGAGCCTCATGTGGGAAGTTCTGCATGAGAAGACATAACTAAGACGGAGTTTGCATCTATTCTCACCAGGAGCACTTACTAAGTTTAAGGAAAATGGCAATATGAAAAGTTTGCGTCAGGGAAGGGGGAAATATGGCTTACAAGGAAACTGTTACAAGAAATAGGTCCACATCCTTTGTTATCTTTTGCCTCAAGGTACCGCTTTTTGGAGGGAAGTAGCTCTGTCTCCTTTAACTGTGTCTGTCTTAAGGGACATTGATGTTTGTGACAGGCATCAGCAAACCTGACATCAAGGCAGCCTGCCCACTGAAGGGCCAGCTGTTCCATCTTAGATTTGAAGATATACCATTAAAAAACTGTCTCTAATAACCCAGTACCTATTTGATGGGTAGAACAATATCCCATCACTAGCACCATAATCTTAATGGCTGCAAGGAATCAGAGTTACAGACTTCTTGGAGAATTATACTGCACTGGTGAGAGGATGTTGGATCAGATAAGCCGTGAGGAACCCATGTCTCTTCCATTAGCCCCAGCCGGCACTGCCAATTGCAGACAATGGGAATTGTAATCCAACAATATTTGAAAGGGGACAGGTCCCTAGTCCCTGGGCTGGCTGGGCATCTGGATCAATTCAACTGAGTTGCTTTTCTGCAAAAAGCTTGTGAAAGGCGCTAGCATATTTGAAGCCTTGACTACCATGGAAGAGATCTGAATTTTATATTGGAAGAGATGGCAGGGAGGTGGAAATGGGGATTTAAAAAAAAAAGCAAGAGAGATTTCAGGGCTCAAGACATTTTGAGTATTTCACCACCTCTCAGAATTCCTCCCTCCATAACCTTCATCTGATCCTAGCCTTGTTAAAAATGCTGTGGATCCTGTGCTGGAGAAACAAAGAAAAACAGATTTATGGAAGCCCATCGCAAGATACCGTACCAATGCAGCTCATGGTTTTGTGTTTGACAGTAAATGTATGAGCAAAAAACTCACAAAATTTGTCACAAGCGCATAGGCATAGCTGGAAGCCACTCAGAGGATTGCCTCACCACCCTCATCCAACAGGCTTCAGAAATGAATTCAGTTGCATTTGTCTTCTGAAGGAAGGCTAACAAGCAAAAGACACCAACTGCTTCACCACAGTACTTTTCTGGACTACAGATTTCCCGGCCATGCAGAGATTTGCAGCTAGATTGTTAATTGGGCCCAGTTAGAGGCCCCAATTAACAATAATATTGGGGCTGGTGTAACATAACACCTGTTACACCAGCCTCAATGGCAGCTGATCTGTTTGCAACTGTAATTCAAAGTGCTGATTTCAACCTATAAAGCCTTAAGTGGTTGGATCCAAGCTATCGCAAAGACCATATTTCCCTCTATGAGCTTGCCCAGATAATAAGGTCAGCAGGGGAGGCCTTTCTCTTAGTCCCACCACCTTCACGGGTCCATTTGATGGGTACACAGGAGAGGATCTTCTCTGTCGCTGCTCCCAAGACTCTGGAATTTCCTCCAATGGGAGGCCAGGCTGGCCCCATCTTTGCTGTCCTTCTGCAGACAAGCAAAGACCTTTCTCTTCAGACAGGCTCTTCCTTAACGACTGCCTGTTGCCTTTTCATTATGTAAGCCACATTGGGTCCTTTCTTAGGAGAAAGTTGGGGTAAAAATATTGTAAACAAATGAGTGAATGAATGAGTGTGGGAAGGTGTAGTTAGAGCCCTGGTGACAGCAACATCTTCACATAAAGTCTAGGTTTATATAACTCGCAGAACCCTCTGCTGTTATGTTGACATTTTGTGACAGTTTCACAAGAACTCAGCAGATTAATCCATTCAAAAACATAATGCAATAACAAGAAAAAGTGTTAAAACCAAGCAAGTACTTGATTGCCTTGGTATAAGCACATTTCATCTAATAACAAGAGGCAGGCTGGTGTCCTAGATCAGTGGTTCTTAACCTTTGTTACTCGGATGTTTCTGAACTGCAACTCCCAGAAACCCCAGCCAGCACAGTTGATGGTGAAGGCTTCTGGGAGTTGCAGTCCAAAACTCCTGAGTAACCCAAGGTTAAGAACCAGTGTCCTAAATGAACATCTTACTAAAATGAGGAGGTGCGTGCAAATTTTAAAAGGCTGTTTTTAGGCATACAGCTACCAGAATCTTCTAGCCAGCATGGCCAGTGGCTATGCACTGGTTGGGAAGATTCTGGTATCCATAATCCAAAAAAACCACACATAACTTCAAGTTCTGAGTGGGTGGGTGTAGTGTTCACCCTGCTCATGAATATTTATGTTGAGATTTGCATGTACCAATAGGTGTTGGTGGGGGTGGAGTTAAGGGGAGTGAAAAAAAGAGGAGTGGGGGAGAAAAGTAGGCGGTTGAGAGTGGAAGGAAGGTTGTTTAGTTGAGAGTTAACAACATTGACGGGACTTTTTATCACTTGTAACAATAAACAATTTCTACATGGTTCTTAAATGATACATTGCCCAGACCTCTATCATTAATAGTGAACAAAGTTGATAAAATCAACTGGTGGCAGCTGAACGACACATAGCTTGTGCCTTTGCTTGGTGAAACGACCAAGGGGCCAGGCGGGAATGTGACAATCTTCAATGGGAAGATTCTGGTATCCATAATAATAATAATAATAAAACATACTGTAATTTCAATTTCTGAGTGGGTGGGCTATGGAAACAATATGCCCCTTTTCTGGTACTGCTTCCAGATTTCCGCCTGCCTGCTAGACCTCTCTCCTGCTGAAAGAAAACACATGCGTTTCCTCTGTAGAAGGGAAATCCTGTGTTTATCCAGCTCTAGCATCAGGAAGAATGTATCATTGTAGCTTGGTATCCTTCACCTTCTGTGTGAACCTTCTCCCTCCCCATGGCCCAGCAGCACATTGGGATTTGTGCTGAAGACCAAAAAGCAATGTTCCTGCTTTTTTGTCCAAATAAGCACAAGAAACAAAGTGAGTTTCTACAGCTATACCAGCTGCATCCACTAGTTTACCCAACATGTAAATACTGTAGAATTGTGTAGTAGAGACACAGAAGATGAATCCATTAGCCTTATGCTCTGCTTCTGCTGTTGTTTCTCTTTGAGGGAGGCTATACTTCAGCAGTGGGGTGTACCTTCTCACCTTAAGTACACTTTTAATACAGCCAGGATTCTAAAACTCAAACTAGAAAGTAAGAGTAAACAGACTTCCCTTAAGGAATAAAGAGCATTATTTATCTGAGCATCAGCTTTCCTCATTTCTGCATGATGTAAATTTGATAGCTTTCGTTTTGTGATTACCAGGAGATAAACACAGATTTAATTTGCAGGTCTGAATGCCCAGACACAGAGCTTTGAAGGGATTATACTCTCGAATGAAAAACATTGTCATCTTTACTTGTGAAGCCAGCATGTTGTACAATTTGACCCCGAGTTGCACAAAAAGCATACAGAAACAGAGAAGCCACAACCAGAGCAAGAAAGAATTGCTGACTGGAAGATTTTGGGGGTTGTAGTTCCTAAAAGCTATTTTCCAAAGCTGTTCAAAGGGCTGCTGTAGGCAGGGCCCACAAGCTACATCCTGCTCTCCCACCCACACGATTCACATTGTACACCAAGTAGGAGATTGTTCTTGGTAATAAAGCAGCACAGGACAGTCCAGCAAATTAAATCCATTGGGGGTTGGCATATTCAGTCTAGCAACAGCCATGTTAAAACCGCCACGAAATTGCTGATAGAGGAGACCTCTCTCTGAACTCCTCTACCTCATCAATTAAATGATATTTGGATATACAGTCCTGTCTCTCATTCACTCATTAGGGTAAATATAGGGAGGGTAAATAATGTAACAGGAAGAGTACAATCCTAAACACACTTAATATGTGAATTATATGGGACTATATGCAAAGTCCACATGGTTGCATCATAGTACAAGAGCTGTAGATAAACCAGTAGTTCACAGTATTTTTTTGTAAACACAGATGACAGAATTGGATTAACATATGCTTTGGCAAGTTCAAAAGCTCATATAGGATTACCAGAAAATTTGCATTATTCAAAGATGTTTCTACACTTTATTTATTTTTTTATTTAGAGATTTCCCATAATCTGAGGGGCTAAAATGCAGTTTACTTTGTTTGTGCAAGAATCCAGCTTTAAGGGGTAAAAGTGCAGCTGCTTATCAATCATA